TTTTTTTTTTACCTCTGTATATAGATTTTGTCTGATCTGAAACAATTTGACGACTTGTAGCTGAAACGCGTCCTGTTTTCTGCCCTTATTAAAACAATAGTATATTTTGAAGTGCTGGTTATCCCATTGTTTTGTAAAATAAGGAGGGGGAAAAAACCTAACAAATGTTTCCCCCTACTTTGGATTTAGAAGTGAGTTAAATAAAAATGATTTGTGGTCATTTTATAAACAGTAGCATAAAAAAACATTTTTACATCTATGCGCAACAAATGAATTTAATTTAAACATCAGATGCTAAATAAAGGCAGAGATAAAAAAGAGTTGAATTCTCAATTTTAAACAGAGTTGACGGAGGTGACGTTTTGAAGTAGAGTTATGTAAGTCCTGCGTGGTTTATTTCTTCATTCTTACAGTATGTCTAAGTGTATTAAGTGTCGTGGTGAACTGATTCACATTTTCTTGGCATTACCTATCAGGGAGGAGTCAGAGAAAATCTCTAAAACAACTTCAAAAGAAAAAGACAGGTGGATCTGGAGGATCTGATTAAAGAACAAATATGTCAAACTAATAATTAGTTTTTTCTTTTTTGTTCATAATGAACCAATATCTAAAAGTCAATGGTATTAGTTTTAAAACTCATCTTTGTCCGTTGACCTTTTGTTTGTTTTGTTTTCTTTGATGTTGTTTCCAGTGACTTATCAATCTAACTTTCTTGATCCACCACATTCCAATTATAAAATCCTATTCCAGTTAAATGGTAAAAGTTCCACAGCAACTTCAGATGAACATGTCTAAGCTGAGCAAATGACAAGAAACCTTTTTATTTTTGTTATTTGGCAGCCGGACCAATGGATATTTTACAGTGTTTCCTACTGGAACTCAGTGCAATCCAAGCAAGACACTAAGAGTTCAGTGCCAACATCAGTGTCACTAAGCCCAAAAAGTAAAAACCTGTTGGTTTACTTACCCAGCTGGTATTTTACAGGGCAGATTTAAAGTTAATTTGTTTCATTACAATTACCAAACAGCTATGATGCAAATTATTCTGAGAGCGTTGCTTCCGTGCTGAGGGAGTAAACCTTTTAAAATTCCTGTTCTGTTTTTGAAGTCCTACATGCACACACGTTCACATAAAACAAAGTACTATTTTTATCTTTCTGCCTTGGGAAAGTTAATGTTTTCTTTTTTCTTTTTTTTTTTTTTGTCGACCTCACATCATGGGAAAGCTCCAGTTCACTTGCAGCGAGTGTGCAGGGTGATCATGTTGCTGTCAGAGTATAGGACTTCTCAGGCTTTTTCACAGGTAACAAAACACATTAAAGCAGCTTAGCATGGAAAAGGAATACAGTGCAAAAGGGTTGTTTCTATAAAAAAAGTATGACAGTACAACATTGTAACATCAAGCACTGTGTACTGACTACAGAAATAAATATTTTAAACTCCTGAGTGCAGATAGTCGCAGCACGTGTAGAACAAAGCCGCTGCTCTTTGTGCAGCTTTACTTCTTCATGTCTGACTCAAAGGTGATTTTTATTACAAAAGTTCCTCAATAGATCCGGGTCCAAGGACTGCTTGAGTCAAATCATACAGCCGAGCTAAGTTTGAGAAAGGACTCAACATTGTAAATATTCTCACATAACAGAGTAAATGTTCTGCCAGCTTTTGATGTTAAATATTTTTAGGTTGCAGCACTCTGTTGTAGGGGAGTAAATCAACAGCTTTAGCACGATATGTTATAATATTGACTTGTTTGGATTCTAATACAATGTGTCTCGATATCATAAAGTCTGTCATGATATGGTTTCATTTCAAGTCAATGCAAAAGTCCGCAATAGATATGATGCAATGTTATATGCCCATCTAACACTAAATGATTATAAGATGGGCATGTATCATTTCATATTGGGCATCTGATGATGATGTGATCAAAGTTTTCTTTTTGCCTTGATGAACTTGAATCATTACTCATTTAATTAATATGTCAAAGTGGATCACTGTATTGTTACACCACTACTCTATGGTATTGTCTTACTTTGGCTTACTTTGAAAGGTCACTACTTATGGGTATGATTGATGTTATTACAGTATCTCACAAAGTGATTACACCCCTCACATATTTGGAAAGATTTGATTATACATTTCCATGGAACAACACTGAAGATATGACATACAATGCAAAGTAGTCAGTGTATAGCTTGTATAACTAATTTGCTGTCCTCCAAAAATAACTCAGCGCACAGACAGTAACGTGTAAACCTCTGGCAATAAAGGTCAGTGGTGTGCTCAGTTCTGTTTCATGACCAGGACAAGATCTTCTGGGAGTAATTTCGCTTGTTATTGTAATTTATCACTGTTATTTTTCATTTTTTTGGCTTGGGAGTGACATCATGATCTGATCTCTATGTTGAAACTGTATATAAAGTTAGATGTTAGAACTCTTAACAGACGCCTGATGGCTCTGTGTTAACTGCTGTGTAGGAAAGGGCAAAATCGTATTGTTTGCAATTAAATGTCAGAAAAACTTTAATTTATTATTTTTATTCATTTTTTTGGCACTTGATTAATACAATTAATGCCACCAGGCAGTCTGACTACAGATTTCTCTGGGTCCTTCGCTCAATGCTCCTTTCCACTTCAAATATGACAAAAATTAAAAAGAAAAAGTTCTGTAATTGATTTATCATAACTCCAGTTTTACTTGATCTATCAACACAATTTAAAAACTGATGTATAGCCTGATGCCTGTACTTTTGACACA